TTTGGCGCAATTTTGTGTGCTTTGCATCCTGTTACTTCCTCGTTCTTTCTTTTTTTCAGGCCTAGGTGAATGTGACACCCCTGGTCGTTACTAGTACTGGTATCCACGTTACTGCATTTGCATGCGCCCACCATGTTGTTATGAAACTTGATTTATTTTGAGTCTCAATCAATAGGACCATTCACATTGCAGTATTAAAGACTGATTTGAATTTAATTAATTTATTACCCATATCAGGGAATTTGTTTTCCACTGGTTAGTACCAGTAAAATGATAATGAGTGGTTGTAGTACTGATGCAAAAATGGAAGAAAAGTATTGCGGGGGAGATCATATTTTTGAACTACACTGTACATGTACATACATGTATCATGTAAACTACTGGAAAACCCCTTGAAAAAACTGTCGGTATTTGTTAATTCTGTATTTTGGGTGAGTTGTGCGCATGCGCCTCCTGTTGGTGCTCTGTATGCGGTAACACAGAAGCGAGGAGAGTCATGAGCAAAAAACGGAATAATTCACCAATGTTTTGAGAACATGCATACTCTGCAAAATCTGTGGAGTTTCAGCCTGCGTTTCAAAAACTCACAATCCAGAGGTGGTTTTTTTGTTTTGTTTTGGTGTGTGTGTGTGTGGGGGGGGGGGGGGGTATTGGTGGTAGCTTCGCAACGGAATTTGAGAAAAAACATGTTTTTTTTAACTTGCAGTGTAAATGCCTCTGATTTTTACTTTAAGTTTCTTTGTCACGGAGCATTTAATACTGAAGTGTGACTATGAATAATTGCCAATTTTAGAAGTGAAAAATGTGGGAAACATTCAATAATTGCAGGCAATAAAACAGTGAATAGAGGTGGGCGGTATTTTTAATGTATTTCTTTTTAATCTGTATGTAGAGCATGATATTAGTGAACAACATATTTAGTAAATAAATGCACACTATTGGCAACAACACTCGGTCTGTACCGGTATATATTTGCATTAAATGTACACTGCACATGTCGTCTGTTTAAAATCAGGCTCATGCGTGTACATGTACTGTACACACATACAAGTGCATGTACACGTATGTGCCTGTTTATGTTATGTGTTAACTTCATTCAGAATATTAAATGGCAGGAAATACATGTACAACTACATATCTAATTAATGTTGATAGAACAAACTAAATTTCAAAGCCATTTCCAACAGTTATTGTGCTTTATTAGCATTATTACACATGTAATCACAAAACATTAATTTCTTTGACTTTTTTGTTTGTTATTATGTTGGTGATTTCTTGAAATGTTATTATAGAATGTTGCTGATATCACAGACAAAACAAGATTTAATGTTGATGGCTATCAAAGATAAAGAAACTTACAGACAGATATTATTCTTCATAGAAGCATTGTTTTGTCTTATCTTCATTTTTATCACTGTCTAAGATCTCTCAAATTCTTGGAGTATTTAGTTATTTACTTAGGAACAATGAAAAAGAAAGAAGAATTCAGGAAGTTTTAGACCAAAGCGAGGATACAGCTGCTCACATTGGTAATCCAATGGATTTTCAAACTTCCTTTATATGGGGTCAAAAACACTCAGTAACGTTGGTCTATCGTAGTCTGCATAGTCATGATACAGAGCTCTACAGACCTTCTGTACATGCCTGTTTGATCTGTTCTGACTCTCAACGGTAACACAACTTCTTAATGTCCTAATGTTATTCAATATTATGTCATTAAATTATTTGCTAATTAATTTTATAGGGGCTATGTGTCTTAAATGTACACCTGGGCCCCGCCTTACAAAGATCCAAATCAGTCGCAAGTCCTCTTTTTAATCGCAAGTTTGCAGTCTCCTATCTCTTATGTACATAGTTGCGATTGATATCAATCGCAAATAAGTTGCAATTAATTAATAGGGACTTTTAGATTCTGCACGACGAGAACATGGACTGCCCTTTTAAGGCAATGTGACGTCACTACCAGTGCCTTAAAAGGACGTCACTACCAGTGCCTTAAAAGGACGTCACATTGCCTTAAAAGGGCAGTCCACGTTCTCGTTGTGCAGAATCTAAAAATCCCTACTATCAACTCTTTAGACGACAGGGCCCTGTTGTATGTACATGTACATGTATATACATACATGTACATACAAAAGAATCAGTTCAAGGAGTTTGAGTTGGCATGAAAAGCCAGTAAAAGGAAATCACAAGAAAATAATTCTATTTTTTAAATATTTGTTTTACATGCACATGTGGATAATTAAATCATTAACTAATTAATTATCATAGCCTTTACCATTTAAATATATTTAGTTTGCTCAGTGTTTTTTATTAGAAATGCAGTGATGCACTGAAAAAACTACAGGGAAAGAAAAGAACAAATACTCCCATTTATAAAACAACTTTGCCTGACTCTATGAAGCCTTATAGAGATTGCATTGTCAGAAGATCGAGCGTCTTTCTTAATTGTTCTAAATTGAAAACCACACTGAGGAACTCAGCAGTAAATGTGAATGTGTCATCCTATAGTGAAGGTCTGAGGGTACATTCTAAAAGGAAAACCTGGGAAGTCATTAATAAAACAACCTTATACACTCACTGTAACGGAGTCCATGCAGATGTTTGTCATACTACAGTATGTCGTAATTTAAAGGTATTACAAAGTTTTGGTATGGGGTCATGGATTTGGTTCAAATTAACATATTGGAAGCATATGCTTTCCTACGATATACATTGATCGTTTTCCATGTTGAAATCGAGTCTAAAGTTATGAAATTATAAATAATAAACTCTTTATGTTGTATAGCTCCCTCTCAAGGTCAAGATATCAATTTAGCTATGAAATAATGTTTCTTGACTAAAATCGACCGATTAGCTATTCCTGTTTGGAAATTATATGTCACAACTACATATTCTGAGATTTCCATTGTCGCAGCAACCATTGTACGGCCGTAGGCGCCATTTTAAATTTATCAAAATTTACCGGGAGCACCGGTAAATTTTGATATTCAATTTTTCTCGAAAACCGAAGTGTTTTAGGGGTTATTTTTTTAAGTGCTTATAATACATCCACAGGGGCATCCAAATATATCAAAATTGTAAAGATTCACTATCCATCCAATTTTCAAAATTTCCCAAAACTTTGTAATACCTTTAAGTTCTCAGGGAGCGACAGAAAGTGGACAGTTTGATAAAAGGTCTTGCTGCTGTGTGGGAATTATGTTTACAAAGTATGTAATTTCCAAAAAGATGATACATATCGATATTTAAAAACAGATATTTAATATCGATATTTGGTAAATGTAACTTACCAAATATTGTTTTGAAAGCTACCAGATACTACTCTTGTTTTGGAATTTGAAGTCCTGTTAAAAACAAATAGTTTCATGATTAATACTTTATTTTATTGTTTGACAATTAAAAAACAAAAAATGAAATTGTGGACTGAGATCTCTCAAAAGAAAAAAAAATCCTGGTACATTTACATGATTTAATTCAAATAAGGCTAAATAGCAGCTTTCCATGTACACAGGTGCTCAGGGCAATTAATTATCCCCCTCCACCCCCCCCCCCCACACACACACTAGTAAATAGCCCTGTAGCCTTGCAAATCTGGGCAACTACAGTACCCTCTGTATTGTCTTCTTAAAAGTAACAATTTTGTTGAAAAGATGGTCGCTCCATGCAATTAGAAGTAAGATAAGGATAATAAATGGGCACTGCTTAAACTACATGTACATGTATGTATGTCTTGATACATGTAATACTGATGAAAGACAACATGTACATTTAATACATGTACATGTACTGTGGTATGTGGACCACACATCAATCAGACTACTACTACTACTACTACAATGACAGCTCACTCAACAGAACGTGTTAATGTGTCACCCTTTTACAAACTTAACCAACCATGCTTTTAAGTTAAAACGTCCTCCAAACTGAACAAAAGGGGTTTAAACACGTTTCTGTGGTTAGATATTTCTCTTTTTACCCTTTACAAGATCTGGCATGTAAACAAAGTGATTTTGTATCAATCAAAAAGTGAGACACTTGATGAGGATTTATACACTGAGGGGCTTTTGTTTGGGGTGTCTCTAACTGTCTCACAAAAAAAGAAAAAGTATCCTACTTCTTGTAAATGAAGATGTAGGCCTACATGTACCTTGGGATTAAGAAGAAAGAGGTTTATGAGATTATTTGTGAGTCGAGCAACGGAGAGGATCCTGATTATAACACAATACCGGTATCAGAGTGCATCGGGGCATGATCTATATTTGCACGGGGACTTGTTATGATAGTTTGAAGGTTGTGGTTTTGGGCAGGTAAAGGTAGTAACAATTAAGCATCTATTTTGAGATACATGTATGATGACTAAAAAGAATTCCTCAAAGAATTAAGCAATTGTAAACTGCATGTCATATTATACAATACGTGTACGATACATTGCAACTGCCATAAAACTATTGATTGCAAATTAAAGAAATAAAACAACAACAAAACATTTACATTAGGGCTTAGAGACTTTGATGGTAAGCGCTTTACAAGCACCAATTTTATTATTATTATTTATTACATTCCTTAGTGCATTTACAACTGTGAGAACCCAAGAAAGTAAGGTACAGGTACAATTACATTTGCCACAATCCACCCACATGTAAGTGTTGAATGGGTACTGGAAGGATGGAAGCCTAGTAGAGCCGGAGGGGGGGGGGGGGGGGGGGGGGGGGGGGGGGGGGTAATATTGGAGTATCTTGAGCACCTTGGGTGGTGGATTTGTGCACTATAAAAATATCAAATATTATTAATCCGCTGACTACTGAGTTATCTAATTCCCATAGGCTTTACACAGAGACCACCTGGTGCCAGTATGGAGTGGGTTTAAATGGTAAAATTACTGTACCAAATTTTGATAGATCATTTTGGTCGAGAGACGAAATGTATTCATTCATATGTTCATCTTTTCTTATTGAATTATTTAACATTGCCCTATTTTTATTGTTGCATTCTTACAGTTAGAGGATTGTGGTCTTCAACTCTCTCATAATGGAACATACTTGGATCTTGAACAGTCCATTGACGACCAGAGGGATGACTTTGAGGGCTTCGAGCGCAAGTAAGTAAAATTTATTCTTTTGGTGGTATTGTCAAATAAACTCAATTTGGCATCAAACAGACGTCTGATCCATCAATATTGAATATTTGTTTATTGTGTATTCTACATTACAAGTATTTATTTATTGTATTCTTGCAGTTTCAAAATGGATAGCCATTAGAGATAGGTTAAGTGGCACAGCTTGATAAATAAGGATCTTATGTGCCAGTGGATCAGATCCCCCTCCCCGGAAAAAATATGTAAATATCGGTATGGAAGAAAAGATGTGTTCGCAATGGACAAAGTACTTTGGAATGTTTGGAAACTCCAGTCAAACGGGGACAATACTCTAGATGTTGAGTGCGTACAACATTGGAGTCTTGAAGAAACCTTTGAACTCAGTTGGGACTTGAGGAAAATCAAGAATGTGATCAGACTTCTGACCTTTCTATGTACATGAACCTGTACCCAGCTGTTTGTAATATTACTGTGGTTTTGATCCAGTGTCTTACTGGTTAAAGCTCATGTAAGGCTTTGGTTGCAAAAAAGGAAATAGGAAATAAGCATTTTGTTAAATATAGTCTGATGTTGTTCTCAATGTTTCTAAAGTTATATGTACGAGCTCATGTGGTATTCTATCCATGATATCCGGTGGATTGTACATTTAATGTACATATCTGCAAGAAACTCTAAATAATGGCTAAACGCAGGCTGCCATTGTCAGAATTTAAATCCCTGGATGGTATACATCTAATTATTTTCTAATTCTCATTTGTCTAATATTGTACTTGAGGAGGAAAAACAACTTCACCTAAGCTTATAGCATTGTTAGTATCTTCCTTCATGTATTTATCATCTACAGTGTAAAATCAAAAAAATTTTGACAAATTTTTTTCGGTGGCTCACCAAAACTTTATAACGGGTATGACCTTTAACACACCAGTATGTTGGAGAGAAGGGAGTCCCCCTTGTGAAATATAATGCTTCCTGTCTGTGAACTCTGGAATGACTGGGGACAATGTTGAACTTTTGTAGAAAGATATACGATATGCAGTTGATTTGAGCATGATTGTAAGAATTAGGAATTATGTTCTTTATGTCTAGAACCACGGTGGGTGGGGAGTTTCCTTTTCATTAGTAGCAGTGTGCCTTCGGTAACTCATGTGGTTGAAACTGCTGAATGATGAAAACCCCAGGTCGGCAAAACTTTTGATCAGTAGTGTACATGTATTCGTTACACAGAAAATATTTAATTTGACATCTACAGTACGGTATTTAAAAAGAATATTTTTTTTTTGCAGTTATACATGTCTGTACTGTACATTGTACATGTTATATTTCTGATATAAACATATTTTGCCTTTATTTTTTTAAACAGGAAAAGCAATTCTGTTATCTTGCGAACTCAGCTCACGGTCCGTGTTCGAGGCATTCAAGGTAAGATCAAGTACAGTCACAGTGTAGATTATGTTTATAGTGAACATTCTTTCTACTTTCTATCATGTCAAGTGAGTTTGTAGAACAGCTGTATTCCTGTTCTCGACAATGGGTGTTACTACAGGTAGAGTGGTACTGCAATTGCTCATTAAGCAATTGCACTGTGGTGATTTCCTTCACTTACAAAATTCTTAAATTCAACCCTGGACCCAAACACCATACCGACCCTTACCTTTACCCTAACCATAACCCTAAAACTATTAAACCTAAAAGCCAATTGCAATCCTTAAACCCAGCCCTATCCTTTTGAGGGAATAAAGGCTGGAGCAATTGTTGCCAAAGCAGAAGTTGGAGCATCTACAGGAACTTTGTAAATGGCTATAGAGGTGCAGGTGCAGACAGTCCATATAATTTTTTTTTTAAAAAGACATATACTGACCTTCTCCAAGTATGTGAATGGTTTGGTAACATTTGAACTAATTATTTCCAGCTGTGCTTTTGTCGACCAGTTGTTAGGTTTTGTATTTGATGTTCATACGTATGCCGACTAGGTTTTATCAATCATACGAGAAGAGCATTCAAAGGACGTAGTGTTTGTTTTATGTCTGTAAGTGGACCGGTGAGGCAGCGTTTCCTAGTGGTTAAGAAGCAAGTTCCTGGTTGTTTTAAAGGACAATCCAACCCTTGTAATAAGTTCTTTTGTATGAAAGCAGAAAACTAAGAGAAACAGAATGGCGAAAGTTTGAAATAAATCGGATCAATGATAAGAAAGTTAAGAGTGTTTGAAATATGAGATAACTGAAGCTATAAAAATCTCAACTTGGCAATTAGGTATACTGGATTGTGATTGTGATTCTCTAAAAAGAAAAGACACTCCTTATAGATTTTGAAAAAATGATATTTTAGTTGTTTGGTGTGTTGGAATAAATGTGAAAGTTGTACGGCACTCTGTTAAAGTGAAATTACCGATTCAGCCAATTTGAAGTGCCCATATGTTTTATAGTTATTACTTCTGAAAATTCATAACTTTCTTATTTTTGTGCGATTTCTTTCAAACTAGCCTGCTTCTCTGATTTGTCTGCACTCTTTTAAAGGTACTATGTCCCATTTGCAGGCCAAAAAAATGAAAAAGTTAAATTCCAACTGCATTTAAAAGATAATACTAATTTAGAACTTCCCTAAAAAAGCTGGGGCTTGAAAATGTCTTCAAGTGTGAAAATAACGACTATTAGTTGCCAAATCGACTTTAGGGCTATAGAGCCCAAAAGTAATAGTCTTGATTTTCAGACAATTGTACCGAATGGTCATACGTTTTATGCTTTGCAAAGATTCAATCAGTTTAATCTTGGCCATCACAAGAAGTGGGTTATTGATGTAGACAAATGCTCATGTACCCTTTACAACTCTTTTCATGTACATGTATGTTATTACCAAAGAAGTAAAGAGCCAGTCAGTCACTCAATAGTGTCTGACAGTGAAGTCTAGCAAGTAAACAGGTCTCGTTGCATAATTTGAATATGAGGACACTGCTAACGTTTAAATTTCACAGAATAGGACATACATGACATATTCATAATTCCTGCAAAGTTCTACAGAATTTGAGGTTGGCTGCAAAAGGGACATATACCTTTAAAGTAATTTGCTCTTAGGGTAGGATTTCCCTTTAAGTAAACGTGAATGGTTCTTGAAATCCGTTTAACGTATCAGTTTCGTATCATGTCTTGCTTGACAGCCATTTCCTTTCTACCGGTAAGTAGTATATGTAGTTAGGTAGCATCCGGTCTATTTCCTTTCTAACTAGTGGTTAAGTAGCAACTTTGATGTTTTAAATAAACATTAATGATTCCTTAAAGCTACCAAGTGTCTATTTAATGTTGGGTACATAAATTTCCTTTCATTGAGTAACAACCTGAAAGTTTTAGGTGAACAGGAATGATTTCTTATATTACTGACTAAACTGATACAAGAAGAAGGGTGATTGTTTCTTGTGCTAAAAATGGGAAACAACTGTTGTCTTTAGCATGCAATGTCTAGAGTACAGGTATGTGAATATCGGTACTAAAGGGTAGTGCATGAACGTGAAATTATCTGATTTTGGTTTTTCACAACATTTTAAGGACACGCATTTCAAATCAACATCAACAAAATCTAATTTTATTACCTGAGCAATTTTCAGACTTGTATGCTCTACATGGTACAAGTTTGTTTAATTTAAAATTTAAAATTTCATTGCACTCTTAAAATATAAAAGGTAATTTACTTCTCAGTACAAGATTATTTACAAGGGATTATGACCTGAATTATAATTGATATTCAACATGGTTCAAGACGTACTGGATTGCGTAAAATCAATAGTTTAGCTTAAATCATATTACAGTTATAAACTGACCTCTTAAAGCCTGTTTTGCTGGTCTGTTCCTATAGACCAATTAACAACAAAACAAACAAGCTTGCAATAAAAAGTGCATTCCCAACGAAACATATAAATTCAGCGTATAAACTTGACCTACAGTAGCCATGTGTAGAATGTGTAGAATTAAAAATCAATCAAGACCGGACCTTGTAAAACGTTGCTTTATAATTGACTTCTGGTTTATTGTGAAAGCAAACAGGTAAGGAGTCAGACCAGGATTTCCTTTCACCTGTCCTCATTATTACACCGGTCTCATCGCCGTTCATAGAGACAACAGGTAGCTGGGTTATGATGAAAGGTTCGGTATGGATTTAGTTGTGTTCACATTGTCTGCTAGTGGGTTAAATAATAAATAATAATGTTTTATTTACCCAAGGTAGCCACTTTAGTTATGAAACTGTCTATACCAGCGGGCCCTGCATAACATAATATGTTATTATTACCCTTCTCCAATCTAATATGCTGAGCGCCTAGCTAGAAGGCAGAAGGTCCCATTGTTATAAGTCTTTGGTACAACTCGGCCGGGGTTCGAACCCACGACCTCCCGTTCATGAGGCGGGCGCTCTAACCAGTGAGCCCTTGAATAAAGACATTTTACTCCATGAACAAGGGAGGAGATAAATGACATCTAACATTTTAACAAGAACAGTTTGTGATCAAGCCTTCTCAGATTTGAATGTAATGAACAAAAGGAGAGTATGAACAAACCCTTCCACCGACCCAGATACATGTGTAATGTGTGTATTATCTTATCTTTGACATACATGTAGATACATTTGTTATGAATTTAGAATGTGTACATGTATAATGAATGACATTAGAGCAAGAACAATCCTACCATTGTCTGATCCATGTTAATGTGAACAAGTCCATTCGTTGACACAGATACATGTACATATGTAATTAACAATAGCAGAGTGTAAACAGACCCTTTCATTAAAACATAATAAACAACACTTGACCGAGATAAACAACACTCGAATGAGTAGAGAGTGTGAACAAGCCCCTTTCATTGACACAGATACATATTTAATGAACAAAAACTTGAGTGGTTTCCTTTACCCTTGAGGTCAAAGGATTAAGATTTGCACCAGACAGATTAGTAGAAGATTAGAGATCACTCTGATTCATAAGAGATATATCCAATTATTGTAGGTTTTTGAGAGGATTTAAGCTACAGTATACCACAAAGAGATGCTAGACATATAATAATACAGAATAGTTACACTGCATCAAGGTACACTGTAAAGGAGATATTTGTAGACAAAGTTTATTCTGATCTCTATGATTCATGAGATATATCCACCTTTTTTTAGGTCTTTGAGAGAATAAGCCTATAGAGTATATACCGATACCACAAAGATATGCTAGACATTATGATAATACAGAATAGTTGTCAAGGTAAAGGAGATATTTGTAGACAAAGTTTACTCTGATCTCTCTCATTCATGAGATATATCCAACTATTTTAGGTCGTTGCACAGTATACCACAAAGAGATGCTAAACATATAATAATATGGAACAGTTATCTAGGTAAAGTAGATATTTGTAGACAGTAAAGTATATGGAAATAAAAACCATAGACCTTCATCAATAATACTTGTAGTCAGGGATTTTAAGGAGATCCGGTCTCAATGAAATGTGGAGTTTTAAAAAAGTTTCAAGGAAGAATGTAATCTACCTGAATGTATGAAATAATTCAATAATTCCATTTGAAATCTGTAATTGGAATATTGGAAGGAGTATATGATATCAGATAATATCCCACTCTATGCTGACCTATCTAGAAAGTAAGGTGCAATAAATACTAAAGCTCACATGTATAGTTGTATAGGCCTACTCTAGGTATGGTTGCTACTCAAAATGAAGTCTTCTGCATTCTGTAATCAATTTTATGAAATGACAACAAATTTGAAGTCTCTTCCAATGTAAGTATATATCCAAGTGTTCTTTATGAATGTTTTTTAAAGCAGTGGTCTACATATAGATTAATTTCACAGATATAAATATCCATTACAAGTTTCTAAGGCGTTGGGCTTCCGTGAAAAAGTCAGTTTATCTAGTGAGTCAGACCTTTATATTTCTGTTTTAATCTTCAGATAATCTACAGCCTTTTCACACACAGCTAAAATTCATCGTATCTAGTGATGATTAGAATCATCGTAAAATATTAAACATGTTTATAGACAAAATTTCCCAGTGTGAACATCGTTTATACGATGTTGGGATAGATACGAAGTCGCGATCCATACGCCCCTAAAAGCAGGCTGCAGATACGAAGTTCGTATCTAGAGAGCTTGACATTTTGTGTGTGAAAGGAAATTCTTGTTTAAACGTGTTTAAACTGGATGGAGCGTGCGCTTTGATTGACATGACATGACCTTCAATGCGCAATGGCACTACTGCGCATTTTACGAGCAGTAGTTAATCACGAAACAATTAACGATCGCACCGAAATTTCTGTGTGTGAAAGGCTCGTGATTAGTTTAAACACGTTCGAAACACGTTTATACTAGTCATGTTTATAGAATTTTAGCTGTGTGTGAAAAGGCTGCTAGTCTTGTCACTACCGGTTCATAGTTTGAA